ATCAGGTTTGTGCAGAGTGGTGAGGGGAAAAAACCATTGCAAGTACGACAGTATTCTGAGAAGGCTGAAATTTTCAGAAATATCTTTTACACCACTACCCTACTCCCCCCTGTGCCCGAGTCCTACAGAATAGTACAAGGAGAATCCAGAAAAACAGAATCCATTCAGTCCCATACATTAATTTTTCTGTTATGTAAACTATTTCTGAATCAGTGTGAGGATTAGGAGGGCCCTATGGTAGCCTGCAGTCAGCCTGGTTGTGTGCCTGTGGGTCCGTGCCCTGGCTCTCCCTGGGCAGCGTGTTTAGATGTGGGAGGCCAAAGTTCTTCCAACAGTTAACAGCCCTGTAAATTATATTGGTACAATAAAAATAGATATGATAGTTCTTGTGGTGAGAGTTTCCTTTCAGTGTTGCTTTTAGCATCCTGGCGTACTTCCCAAAAAATAATTAATTATTTGTGCAAATATTAATGTTACCCAAAAGGAATCATTTACCTCACGTGCCTTTTAGGAGGGAGAGCACTGAGCAGCTTAGCTTTGTCAGGCCTGAAAGTAGATCTTAACTATTTGCGGGGGGGGAATAGCTACAAACTTTCTTCTAGAGGCTTATTGATAAGCCTGTCTTGAGAAAGGCAAGTAAAGAAGAAGCCTCAGGTGCTTCCAGAGTCTGAGATCTTTGGTGAAATTTGGCATTATAACTCAAGCTGAGGCAAGACCCTTTCCTACAAAACTTCTATGCAGCAATTTCTGTCCTGCTCCCAGTGAAACCGGTGTGTTTTGGAGTCTCTGCACGGAGGAAGGCCTGTCCCATGGTGCTGTGGAGGTGCCGGGTGCTAGGCATGGCTCACAGGTGTCCACCTGAAAGAGAAACGTTCCCCTTGGGATCAGCAAATGGGAATTTGAAGTTTAGCACCTCTCTCGTTCTCATCGGAATACCTCGACCGCAGGGCCAGGGACCGTGTTGAGCTGTAAATTGCGTGCTGACTCCTAGTGGCTTGTTTGTGCACTTATATGGGGTTTTGGTTTGGACTCCTTTTCTTTTTTACTGTTCTTGCTCTGTCTTGCTTCAGCAATTCTGTGGTGATCTTAAGAACTCTTTCCTGATAAAAACTTGTGCATGTGGTGGTTGTGGGTTTGTTTTTTATTTTCTGTTAACTGACAGGCATCTGCAAAAAGCTTTGGATTCAATAAATTTTTATTTCCTGTTGGAAAGAGTCTGTATTTATAAAAACCAAACCCCAACTAATTACCCTTTAACTTCTTTTGGGCTCTTTTCTCTCTGTGTAAATTGAAAGATAAAGCCTAATTGGAAACATCAATTAGGGAGTTACGACTTACGGTGCAGCGCTGCAGGGGCTGTAAGTGATGTCTTTGCTTTTATTAAATGAAGAATACGAATCGCCTTTCACTTCTCTGTGGCTGTGCTTTATGCAGAGCAACTCCTAAATGCATTTTAAAATGAAGCCCACCAAGTGTCCCTTGGCAAATGCAGCCTTTTGAGAAGTGTAACTGCGTATGTTTTATAAGGCAGCTTCCTTCTTCAAATATAAGAGTACTGCTCTCGTGCTTGCTGCTTCTGTAAGGGCTCTGTTAGTTAAGGGAGCCAAGTGCAGACTTACTGGAAAGGACACCTCAGCTCCCCCAAGTTGGGGTGGCCAGTGTTACATCTCATGGGTGTAACTGCCCAATCTCCTCTTTATCCAGAGCAGGCATGGTCCCGATAAAGAAATATCTTGCACTTGATATAAATGCCTGCAAACTACAAAAATGCTTACAAGATTTAAGCATCTCAGACTGCCAGGTTTCTTCCCCTCTTCCTTCTTCTCACACATCTGTCTTTAGATCAGTAAAATACACTTTTGTATATATTTTCAAGATTCATCTCAAGGTGATGCTGAGAGAGAGATATTTTATGACTGTATTTAATTTTTTTTTTTTTTTAAAGAGATAAAGTGAGAGACCCACCAACCCAAGTCCCCAAACAAGATAATCACCTGGGGCTAACCGTTGCAGGCCCAGGAAACCTTTACACTTCTATCTGTTACTGTCTGGTGCCCAGGAAGATCCCGATGATTCTGATTTTCTTACTCCAGAGAGAACTGAATTAATGCTGCTGACATCAGAGTCGACATCTGAGTATTATCAGCCTGCGAGACGCAGCCGGGTCCTGGGTTTGTGCAGGCTCTGATGGGTGAGCGGTGATGCCTGCTGCAGGAGCTGGTGTTCCTGCCTGTCCCAGCTCTGTACAGGGGGGATGACATTTTCCCTGGCGAGGATGCCCAGTTGCAGAAGTGTGTCGTCTTATTCCATTGGTTCTTGAGCTTCAGGCCTCTAGGAAACGTTGTGTTAAGAGTAAGGGTGTGTGTGAGAGCTGTAACCCAGTGCTGACTCCAGCAGCGGTAGGTCCCTCAAAAGCGAGGCCAGCCATGGTCCATGGCAGTGCTGGTGGAGAGGCTGGTGCATGGTGTACTTTTTACCCCTTGCCCATGTGAGAAGAAGGTGGTTTCTACCATAAAGAGGAGGTTTTGTCTGTTCTTCCCCCCTCTGCCGGTGACAGCATGCCTGCCTCCCCAGAGCTCCCGTCCACCCCATGAGATCTCAGCCGCAGCACGTTCCCTTGGCTTGGCAGCTCTCCTCTGCCTCTGGCCCCTCATCCTTGCAGTCACTGCCTTCAGATCTGCCTGCCTGTCTGCCTGGGAAATCTTGGGCTGGCTTTGCGTAATAATTGAGACAAATGATTGATTGCTGTCCCCTTGGGCTAATTGCACATATAATCTATTCTTTTCTCTAGGGCTCCTCTTTCCACAGAATAAAACCCAACCACCAAAAAGCCGCAAAAAAACCAAGCAAAGAAACAGACTTTGCTGTTTCAATGGGAAGAAATACAGGACAAAAAGGAGGAGAGGCCAGAGCAATTTTCTACAGTTGTTCTTTCCAGATGCACTTACTGGTTCTGAGAGGAACATTTGCTTTTCTCTGTGAACAGCAGATCTTCCCATCACTGGGAAACTAAACTAAACATTGAGAACCACTTGGTAGCATTTAATCCCAAAAGGATTGCTGTTGCAGCATTACTATATGAGACTAACTGCTTTCACCTGATAGGAAAGATAAATCCCTTGCTTTTTGACCCCTCCTATTGTTCATTGCCATTGGTATTTGCCAGAATCTCCCTCTGGTTCTTTTGCTCAGGGTAGCTGTCACCACCATCATATAATTATATGCTAATTGTATCAGATATACATTATTGGGAACCTAGTAGTTTAACCAATTTGCTGTACCCATTTTGGCACGTATACATACATATGAGTTAACTTGGTTTAATCTGGAGTGAAACTATGCTGATCAATTCTGGAAATAAATAAATGGTTGTCAAGGGTAAATGCCTGTTGCCTGCTTAGGAAGGACTATTTTGCTTTGTTTGATCTAGTTGTGCCAAAATTAGTCTTCAATATGAGATGTGGTAGGTTTGACAAGCAACTGTATTTAGGTATTTCTTTCTGAAACACTAAATAAGTAATAGCAGTTATAAAGTCCCTGTTCAGTGTTCTGAAGCTCCGGCTGTGTTTGAGTAGCTGAACGTGATGGTTCTCCTGGGTTATTCCCTGTAAGCGTTTGGTTGTTGAATTCTTAGCGACTAGTGAAACAAAATACTATGAATGTCAAGTTAGAAAATGAGTGTTATTGTGGTTATCAATGTACATGTTCAATATGTTCCTTTTGTGCTAATATTTAAAGTTTTGTGCCGTGTCTCGTAACATCTAAACGCAAAGTTAAGAGAAGAACGGGAGTGTCAAAACTCTCCAAATGTCCTCCAGAAATGATATGGGAGCATGTGTTACATGAAGTGTGATAATCCCACAAGAATACGCTCATCTTGGATGCTGGAGAGCCTTGATTTAGTGTTGGAGTGTGCTATGATTTGTACTGGCCTAAGGGACTTAAGGGTAGCATATATGTATGCAAAAGTGTATTTGAAATGAAGTTAAGAAACAGAAGACCTTAATCTCACTTACATGAGGTTCTCTCTGCACAGCTTGAAATTACAAGGAGCCTTTAATTTGAGGCTAAATTGTTTCGTCTCATTCTGAAATGTCCCTGTTTTGGCACCGTGGTGTGTATGGGCTCTAGCGTAAATGGGAATTGGGCTCAGAGTCAGTGTGATAACCAAATGAGTGAAGAACCAATATAAAGTCCAGCACTTAAAAGCAGGTGTGATAGGTTGCTAGATAAAATGAGGTGGATGATACTTCTGATAAATGGCAGTTTGGACACTCCACAAATGTTTAGAGGTACATAATATCTGTTGTTTTCATTTGTCTGTGGACTAATGGTAGAATGAGGGCATCACTCTGCTAAATTTTTGTTCTGGTAAGCTTGCAGTGGTGATGCTGGAATGAAAATGAATGATTTCTGATTCTTTAGGCTGTAGAGATCTGATTTTCTTGAGGCCGTATTTCTCTGAATTGCATTTACTAAATAATTATATGCAAGGTAAAAAGTGGTTCTTAATCTTCTGGCCCATATTAAAATCAGTAGCCTAAATATGGTGGTAATAGGTATATGGATAGCTGTGCTTTAGAGTGGTTTTTTGTATCTCCGTTTTTAAAGACTAAACTCCAAACCCTACCTCCTCTTTGGAAGAAGGATCTGATTTTATGAAAAGTTGTGTGGAAAATTCTTTTCTTGGGGGGGAAGAAATTGCAGAGCAGTCCTTCTGAAATGACTTCTTATTCTTCTAAATAGAGGTTTTGCTGCTAGCATGTAATGCTGTTGGGAAAAACCACTGAATAATGGAATATGACTTTTGTAGGAATTTTCTTTTTAATTGCCAAAACTGTTACCAGAGCATGAAATAATTAGTATGAATTTTAACAATTGTATTTGCTACTTTTTAGATGTGTAAACAAAATTTAGAATTCTGTGTAAAAATAAGATGGAAAAAAAAATTTACTTCTCACCTCTTTTTCTTTTTCTTCTTCTTTTCCTTTTTATAATAGGGCTTTATTTGTCCTCTCTGTATGAAGTCTCATGGATCAGCGGAGGAGCTGTTCAAGCACTATGAAGCAGTTCATAATTCTGGCATTGATTCAACTCATGGAGGGGAAGGTCATCTGTCACCGGAAAGGTGCAACAGTGCTCATTTGTGCATGTGCTTTTGTGTCAGTGCTGAGCTGCTTCTAATTACACTGAAGGCTGTGTTAATTTGAACACTTAATTATGTAGTCAAGTATTTAAATGTTCATGCCCCATTTCCAACTACAATTAAAAAGCAGCTTGAAACTTACATTGGCTGATATTGATCTGACAATAAATGAAAATCAGATACACGTTTATATTGTTAATTAAATCACCTGTTTCTCATGCAGCTCACAATGAATATTACACACTGGAATGATTTTTGGGAGTGTGGCAAAAAAATACAGGTTCCTCCTAATTTTCAGCATAGAGCTGAAATTTCATCTCTTGAGGGTGGGGGAGGACAACCCTGAAGGTAGAGAAGGAAACTGATTTTGTCCCTGGGTAGTTAGGGTACTTACTGGGTAATTACAACATCAGTTTTTGCCTAAATAGTTTCCCATATTACTTAGTTATTTGCAAGTCTGAGAAGTTTCTCTCTGTGTCAGTAATTCTCCTTCTGTGTTCCAGAAACTCCATGCTGATCTTCAGAAATCTTCTCTAATTTCTTTTATTTAACTGTTTGGTCAAAACTGTATTGTTAAATGTATTCCTAGGAAACATATCAAGTTGTTTCATTTTTGAGAGCAGCGGTCTGTAGCAGGAACTGATAATGGGAAAGTTTCCCTAGAAAAGTTTAACTGAGTCATCTGCCTTTGTTGGAGTAATCCCTCGTGTTGGTTTGGGGAGCTTTTTCACAGGGGTGAAATTTGTGTAGGTTTCCTTTTGCTTCCTGCTAGTTCTTTTTCTGTTCAGTGTTTATTTTGGACTGTTACAAATGACAGTCCGTGCTGCTGTTTTGTCACACTCCCCCAAACTCTCTTGGTTTATACACAGCAGTGTTGGAGTGAGAAGCTGCCTGGGGCCTCGTTCAGCAGAGGTGCACACCGCACAGTCCCACAGGTGGTCGCCTGCTGACGGAGCTGGCTTCTGCCGATGCTGGGATGGAAATGGTTCAAACGTTTTGTCACTAGTAGAACTGTGACCCAAAATGAGAAATTTTTGCATTGAAAGAAATACCTGTATTTATGTAATTAACTCAAGAGAGAGTGGCTCTTCGGTAAGAAAAGAGAGTGGAAGGTAACATATTTCACTTGTTAGCCACATGAAGATCTGTATCTCCCCAGTATTGTACAGAGCTGGTGAACCAGTAAGAGCCAGCATTAGCAGAGGTCATGTCTTCATGCATGGATGGGCCCTTCCTTGTGGATAGCTGCCTACTCTCCCAGCTGCTGCAACAAAAGAAATCAAAATTAGGCCTTTATATAGGAGAAAGTGGTAGGGTATTAGTGGAGTTATATTGGGTTTCCTATGTGCACATTTATTCAAGAATGAGTATTTCTTCTCTGTCTGATTAAAGCCTTTTCATAGTGATATAACTTAGACCTGAAATGATGCTCTTAGTAGAATAATAGCATTCACATGGGGCAATTATTGCTCATAACTGTATTGTTTATATAGTTTATGAAAGATTTATTTTTATGCCTTTTATGCAAGTTTCCAATGTCAACCAGATGTTGAAATTTATTTATTTTTTCCTGGCTTTTGACAGTTTAAGGACAAGCGGTTTTGTTTTCTCTCATATAATTGAAAAAGTGGACAAGGTCAGGGAGTTTGGATGGAGTGAAGGGAGTCTGATGAGAGCTGTTGTGTAACACATGAGCTATTTCTTCCTATTAGTGTGGCATTCTTTAATGTTTCTCAGTTGCGTGTTTGCTTGAGAAAACTCTCATTCTACATAAACATGTTTTTCCAAGACTTGGAATACCGCGTTAAAGAAATACTGCAGCCTGCATCAGGGAGCCACTCTGTTAGTGATCTAGGAGTGAAGTTTACATGTAATTCATAAGATCAAGATTGGGAGGTGAAGTTCCTTATTTAGTCAATGAAAAAGCTACGTACTAGGAATTACATTTTGTTCTCTTCACCCTACCCTCCCAATAAACCACCATAATGAAGTGCCAGGAGTAAATCTGTAACTCTCCCCAGTGCGATTTATCGAGGCCGTTGGTACTCGGTGCTAGGATGGATGCACCGGCATTACAGGGGGGAATGGAGTGGAGCATAAGGAAAAGGTAGTAAGAATTTGCCAGATGGTGAGGCTGAGGATATGTGCTGAGAGGAGGAAGGGATTGTAAAAGCCCTAGCAGGAAGGGAGATTTGGTGAGGATTTGGATGTCAGTAAGAAAAAGAAAGTTACAGTGTCTAGAGTGATCCCTTACACTCCTCCCTCCGCACCCCCTCCCCCCCGCCCCCTTCATTTTCCACTAGTTAGTTAAACTGAATTTAGGTTTCATCTTGAAACTGTCAAGCAAAACTGTTTGGAATATCAAGGCAACTACTGTAGAAGGGTCCTTACATTACAAACTCTCTCTTCCCCTTCTCCTCCCTTCCTCCTTCACCTCTATTACAAAGCTATTTTTATACAGCTTTTATCTGCCATGAAGACCAGAACATCTTAAATGCTTTAGTATTGCAGATCTGGTATGTGTTTAGGCCCAATGTCAATGTAGTGAACTGTTCCACCTGCCTGAGATTTCATTTATAATCTTAGGTGTGAATATTAGCTCATCTACTTATTTAGACTGGTGGGAAAGCTGCTCCCTCTTCTCCACCCACAACCAATGTATGGGTTTTGGATTACAGCTACACCTGTCTCAGTAAAATTGTATTTGCAAACCTCCAGTGAATGTATCACACAGGCAGAATAATGTGTAAATAGCAGAAGACTCTTCCTCTGAAAAAAATCAGCCTCCCAATATCTTGTGTTTGTTTTGCATTAAAATTGGTCCACCTTGGAGTTCTTGCTTCACTGGTTCAAGTGCATGTGTTTCACTTGCTTTTTGATGACCCTGACCTGATGTTAATACGCTAATGTAGGTTGAATCTATTCCTTCCCAGTTTAGCTAAAGAATAGCTTGCCTGAGTGTTTTTTTGTTTTTTTTTTTCTCCTGAGGTAATTTAAAAGAACATCTGTGGAGGAGGGGATAATGCAGCACAGCAGCAATAAAATTGTATGGTATAAAACTGAGAGAATTTGTTGGCATTGGCACCCCCACACATATATTCCATGTACTCCTCCGTGTTGCCACTGTACAAACAATAAGAAAGGATATGTTTGCATTATTTTAATGACCTGTGTATTCTACATTTGGAGTGGCTGTGTCTCAGTAATGCAACATTATTCTTGTATGTATAGTTGTGCAATTCTGTAGGAGACCTGCGATTTAGGAGGGTGCTGTCTAAATCAATTAGTGACAATTTTAGTCTTAGATCTTGGGTTCTTGCATGGCTGGAGGCTTGAGCATGAAGTTTGAGAATTTAAAATCTCAAGGCTTTAAACATTCGGACCATTAAGTGAGTGTATCTGTGGAGCATACTGAATTGCTGTGTGGAGGAAAATTACGTAACTACAGATCTCAAAAGGAGTCAGATAGTGTGCTGTCTCTTAGTGGCGTTTCTTTACATGATGTGGAAAGTGAAGGAGAATAGACCTGCTCTTTTCATAAAAAGGCATGCAAAGCAGTTAAAGGTCCCAATGCACAGCTTTGCCATTCTGAACTCATGTGGTTGCGCTGATGCACTGATTTAGATTTACATTCTGTTTTCTTGAGACTTTTTGCATATCTATTTCTTTGCTTATCCAGTTAATAAGTTTAGCACTTTTCAAGTGATGTGCGAAGTGAACTAATAAGTATCTATGAATCTGTTTTGTTTCAAGTTTCAAAAAATCCAAAAATAACTATTTATAATTATGCAAGTTATATTTATGTAGTACCTGGCTGTCACTCCAGTTATTTAATACACGTTATAACCTGTGTGTAATAGACAAAATATAACCACTGCGTATTCATTTTCTCCACTCCATGGATATATTTATTCAGAGATGAAGTATCACTGCTCCGACAAGAAGTCCAAGACTTGCAAGCTTCACTGAAGGTTGGAATGTATTTTACTTGCACTTTTTTTTTTTGTTTCAAATTGCAAAGTGTTCCACTGTCTTAAGCAACCAAATTTACAGTTCTCTCTCCCCCATCTCCTTTTTTTTTTTTTTTTTTTGTTTGTTTGTTTTTCCCTAGGAGGAGAGGTGGTATTCAGAAGAGCTGAAGAAAGAACTAGAGAAATTGCAGGGGCAGCGGCAGCAAGTAATTGCTTTAAAATACTTGAAGCAGGTTTATCATCAGCATTGACATTGAAGATTAATACCTTTTTTGTAAGGCACGTGGCCTGATTTAGTTAGTTCCATAATTTGAATATTGACATGTTCTTGAAAACAAAGCTAGTTATCTCTCCACAATGTAACTGTATATATATACCTGAAGAACAAAGTCAGAGCAGATAATGATTCTTTCATAGTACTCACTACAAGTCCAGTTCAGACTTTTCCTTCTGTTGGGCTTATTCAGAACTCAGTTTATTAGAGAAAATAAATTGAATATGGTGTTTCATCTGTTACGAGAAAGGGCGATGGGGTCTTTCTTGTAAGAACTTCTGGACAACAGTAGTGTGATTTCACAGATGAACGAACTGAACAAACAAGGCAAGGCAAATTGTGGGTGTTGTGCCCTAAGGAAGCTCTCACTTCTTTTCTTACTATGAGCTACTTAGATACTGGATTGTTACAAACCTCAGAAATTGCTTTTGGACAGAATGCCTTCTCAGAATGTATTGATGTCTGTAACCTCTGTTTTTCGGGCAGATTTCAATATTGAGGAAAGGGAGGGGGAGGGGATTGTTACTGGAGTCTTGCAAGTCTGGAAGCCTGATAGTGTAGTGATATGTGAAATGGAAATTCATCTTGGCATTCTCCCATCTTCCAGATATAACTGTTTGAAATCGGGTATTTTTATACTGCTGTGTGGTATTTGAGTGCAGAAGTCTTTATTTCCCTGTCTTTTCCAAAAATGGGATGAACTTTGGAAGCAGTAGTTTTTATTCCTACTGTCTAATGATGCATTTATTCTGTTTTCTTAAGGATTCTAAGTCTGATGGATTGACAACAGCTACATCTACAGGTGGCTAACATTTTATTATATTTATTTCTGCAATTTTCTGGAATTTCTGAATTTTTTTTCACTGTAGCTTTTAGGTTTATGAAAATGCACTTTTGGTCAATTAAAGACCTAGAAAGCTGAAATGGTACAATTACTGGAAAAAAAGTTCATTGTAAGTGCTTAAGATAGATAGCCCTTGATCTCTGTAGTCTGGGGAAATGTTCCAGAGGCTCGGGGTTCGTCGTTTCTAGAAGTGAGACAGGAGTTCTCCTGACTCTGAAAGCAGTTCTCATGAGTAGTTTTGAATGTGTTTTTAATCATTTCATATACTCAAGCATTCAGCACAAGTCCATTGCTGCGAAAGACAGTGATTGTTGATATTTAAACTATAGCATTTGTCAGTGCTGGTTTTATTTAATGTTTTTCTGTACCCATTGCTAGCAAAGAAAACAATGATTTTTTTTGTTTGGTTTTTTTTTTGCTTTGCAGACAGACTAAGAATTTTTGCTCTGTGTTTTTCTCCATGAGGCACTCATGGAATAAAATTTTCCTTGTGTGCACATAAAGTATCTGACTGATCATGATTAAAGAGCTTTTAATCACAGTGCAGTAGCATGTTGCAGTGATCTGAAGGGCTATTTGTGACCTGTGAAAACCAATAAGTGCTTAATCCTGCAGAGTACTGGACTAGTGACAGGTTCCAGTATCATGCTTGTAGATATTTAACTTTGTAAAGATGGTCACTTTGCTAAGCTAATTGGATGTTAAGTGAAATTTGGATTGCTTATTTACGTGCTGTGGTTCATTATGGGCATGAGTAACTGCATTGTCCTAGCTCTTCCAGAAAATAATACTGTTCTTTTTATGGAAATAGAATCATTAGAACGGCAACTAGAAGAGATCCAAGTAGAAAATTTTAACATTAAGCAAATGAAAGACTTATTTGAGCAAAAAGCAGCACAACTGGCCACTGAAATTGTGGGTAAGTATATTAACATGAGGTCTGATTCTGTTCTCTACTTGTGCAGCTTGTGCAAGCGATCATTTATTCAGCTTCCTTCTTACTAGATCTTAAATCAAAGTACGATGAAGAAATCGGCCTTCGGGAAGGTGCAGAACAGAAAGTGACAAACCTGACACAAGAACTGCAGAAGGAGAGAAGTACAGTGGAAGACTTAAAGACAGAGCTGGTATTCACATCACACTAATGTTTTTGTTATTTTCAGGTCAAGAGAGGGGTGTACTTAAATGCTTGCAAATGCAGCTTTAAAGCAGTCAAACTCTGTTGAACTTGGAGATGTGTGCTTGTGGGCTGAAAAAGTTCAGAACACCATTGTTTCTGATCTGTTTCCCTGACCTACGTTTTCAGTGTTTTTCCAGTGAGGAAATATATGTTGTTTCTGACTTATGTATTAAAATTGACCCTACATTACATTATAGTCTGCTTGTTTGATGCTCTACCCTTCAGCAATTTTGCAGGGTATTACACATCTAGATGTACTTTGTAGGCCTGTACTTGGAGCATGCCATTGCTGACTTCCACAGCTGTCTTTAGATCACCCTTTTTCCATGAGGTGTTATGCTCTGACTGTCCCCGGATGGCTGCATTCAGGAGAAGTGCTCAGAGAGGTGTTTTGTGACATGGTGGGTGAAAGGCTGGCAGCTGTCATCGCCATTCCTATGTTAATGTTGTCCCTCTTGCACTTGGCTGATAATACCAACGTGTGTGTATTCCAGGATTTTGGGTCCTGGTGACTTTTAATAGACAGTCATGGCTCCAGGGAGCAATCCCGGTCACTCGGCAGTTGTGCCTCTTCTGAAGCAGTAGTGAAGGAGACTTCCTAGCTTCTCACACTCAAACACTGCTAAGATGCTGGAGGAAAGTAGGACTTGTTTATCCCCCCGTGAAGGGCTCATGACTCCCTCTTGGTCCTGCCTAACCACTGGACCTATCCCTTCCTCTCTGTCTGTTTAGTTGTTTCTTGTGTTCCTTTCTCTTTCTGCATCCTTACCCTTTTCCTGTACCTTTTCTCTTCTAGATGCCAGCACTTCCTTTTCTCTACTTTATCCAGTGCCCAGTATTGCCTTTCCCCTCCCTTTTCCCTCCATAGCTTTTCGCTTTGAGGGATGTCATGGTACTTTAGACATAATTACCAACAGATTTTACCTATGGGTCTGGTATGAGGCATGCCTGACGGTTCCTTCAAGAAGTTTCCTTCAGCTGTATGTTCTTGTTTTCTGAAATAGTTCTTGAAGACAGAGGCAGTATCATTATAAAGACTGTGTAGTACTGGGTTGTTGTCTGTCTCAGTCCTGAGTGGGGCTTGTGAGTGCTGCAGCAGGAAAGTATATATAGTAATCCCTTCTGTAGAGTAGTGGAGTCAATGCAGCCTACTTCTCAGGAAATTGGGACTTCAGATAAATTTCTTGCATGGATTCCCTGTCACTTTAGTGCTTTTCCCCAGGGAACGTCTCCTTCCTGTACCTAGCCATCTACCTACATGAAAATTACAGAAATTTAATCTTTGAGACCTTATCCCATTTGTCAGATTTGGTTGAAATCAATCAACAAATTCAAAGTTTAGTAGGTAAGAACTGTCAACCAGCCATTAAATCCAGTTTCCTTTGGGAATGATATATACTTTTCTGTGAGTTTGGGTTTGTTTGTTTTTTGTTTCTTAGGGTTTTTTCTTTTTTTTTCTCTTTTTCTATAATATCGCATATGTCACGTTGTCTACAAATTGATGATTTGAAAGATTTATAGAGATGACATTGACACTGGAAGCATGTCTGCAAACAGCACGTTGCTCATTGCTACTCTTTTACTTTTCAGCTACAAAGGCCTGGTGTGGAAGATGTGGCTGTCCTGAAAAAGGAGCTGGTCCAAGTTCAGACGCTGATGGACAAAATGACGCTGGAACGTGAGAGAGAATCTGAAAAACTGAAAGATGAGTGCAAGCACTTGCAGGCAGAGCAAGCTAACTCGGAGGTAATAGTCATACCCAGAGATGTGTGTGTGAGCTTTGCCATGATTTTCATAAGAAAATGGAAAATACTAATCCATCATAATGAAAAAACCTCTTTCTTAACCAAATATTCTAACTTAAATAATAGACATGTTTCTTCATTACAGTAAGTTGCGCAATTCTGTCAATATCTACCCTCCAAAAGCTCCCATGCTTTTCCTTGCAAAACCTTTCCTTGACTTAAAAAGTTATAACAAGACCCCAATGGCTCTTTTTTTCTGAAAAAGCCACCTGGCAGAGTTGTGCTCTTTCTATCCGGAGAGAGAAATAAAGCAATATCTGTGTGATTCAAAGACTTGTTTCCCTTATTGAGCTACATACGGGTAAAAACAGTTGTTACTGAAAACAGTGGTTTTGGTTAATATTTGAGTTGATGTATCTGATGCTAGAGCATTGAAATATATAAAAAGAAATTATTAATACAAAGTAGATAATTTCAGTATTCTTATAGGACATTTGATTCTTGAACTTACACAAGATCTAAAAATCTCAGTGGATATTGTAAACAGGTTTTCGTTTTTGTTTCTTCTAGTTTTTACTGTCAAATGAGAAGCCTTATTACACCTATTATTTATTATAGGAATATTTTGTCTGTAAGGTACAAATCTGTTCTGCATACATCCCACCCCCCCCCACCCAGTCCACTGCATAATGGCCTCCAAGTGTCTCCTGTTATCCACCAGAGCAGAAAGTGAGTGACTGCCAGGCCTCACCACATCTTAAGGTCAAGATGTCGGGATGTCACCTGTAATCTGTTTCCAGGCAACAGCACCTTAATTTTCCTCTTTTTGGTGTTGTAGTCTAAAGTAGAAACTAAAATCTGTTAAATCTGTTCTTCTCATGTTAGTTGCTTTTTTTTTTTTTTAACATTTTTTCTGGATTTGAAGATTTTTAATTTATCCCATTTAAAAGAGACCTCACTGTCTACTTGAGTTGCAGAATATGCTAGTTTCTTCGGAAGTACTTTGTGAAGGCTGGCCTGTGCTTTGGCTGAGTCAGTAGGAGAAGCTTTAAATTGCTGATGGGAGATTTGAAAACATACAGAACTGATGATAACCCTGTGTTTAAGGAAGCAAAACTAATTGCCTCTCCAAGAGCAAATACTCGGTTTTCTTGGGTGTGGTTCCTCTCCTTTCCTGCCAGTGAGCACTTCCACTTCCATGTAAAGTGGAGAAAAAGGGATATAACAGCTCTGACTTGGATTTTTAAGAGGGAAGCTTACTCCTCAAACTGTCTTAGATCCCTCCTGGCTAAAGCCTGTTTGATGTTGGTTACCATGACAGTGAGGGAAATCTCCGACAGAGATAATGGAAAGAAATCCTAATAAAAATACAGTATCACCCAAAAGGCTTTCGTCTAACATATCATTTATTCTGCTGAGGAGTTGGTGAATCCATGCCTGCAGAAGAATTCTCTTGCTGGGTGTTGGTGCCTCTTACTAGTGGGTTGGTTGGTATAGTTTCACAGATGGATGACTTGACAGTGTAAAGACCTTCACTGAAAACTGCCAGCTGTGTTTGAGACCTTTTAATTTTGCCCTCCCCCTTTTCTATTGTCCCCCACCAACGCAGCAATGCCAGTAAAACTTGTCAATGCAGAGCTGTGGTCCCTAGTGAAGTGGGGTCTTTGCAGAATTCCCCAGCTTACATGAGGGAACACCTAGAATTTCTGTAGGATTCCTAGTATCCTCCGTCCTGATGAGGTTTGTGGATGTGAAGGATTCCTGACATCTTGTTATTCTGGGGTTTCATGTGCCCTAGATTTCAGAACTGCAGTTTTTTAACTTTCTATTTCTTCATTTGCACTGCAGAGCTTTAGAGAAGCACTGCCTGGCATTATACTAAACTCCTCAGGGCTTTCCCGCCTGTCTTCCCCTGCAAGAGATATGTTGATCTCCAGGAACTGTGCAAGGGTACAGTATTGTACTAAACATGAATCTACCATTGTTTTCAAGTTAAAATTATGTATGCCAAGAGCTTCATCACACATGAAAAAAGGAATATCACAGTTGGAATTACGGCTATAATGTGGTTATGTGGCCATGTAAGTTGCTGCATAATTGTAATTTGGTTTTAACTGTGAGATCCCATAACTATGCTGCAGAATTTAAATTTCATTTCAAAGTACTGCCTCTGTAGTATTTTGTGGTTTTGGATATTTAGTCTTCATGTGAAGATAAAATGACACAGTGACATGGGTGTAACAAAACTTTCATCTTAAAATGTTCTCACAGAAGGATGAATTGCTCCCGTTCCCCCAAGTTAGGTATGTTTAAGTTATGACATAACTAGCTGTTTTAAAATTTAGTTTTAAAGTGCAGCCTTTAACAGGAAAAAAGACAAATGAAGAAGGTTTTTTCAGTCCTCCTGGATGTAACAGCAGATGGGGAAGAAGGCTGGATGATGCCCCTAGCTGTTACTATGCGTTCATATCAGAAGTCTTAGATGTATGGAAGGATTATAAAATACATTGCAGCAATTATAATAATATCAAATGTCTGTGTAGTATTATCAGTATGTAGGCTGAACCAGAGAAGACCAAGCTGCTACGTGGCAGAACATGGTAAGCAGTGGCAGTCTGGTTCTTCTCAGAAGTGTTGCTGTCTTCTCAGCTTAATTCCAACATATGCAACAATAGCCCAAGATGTGTTCAAAATAAAAGCTTTTCTGTCAATACAAAATGACAGATCAGACTTTTTAAAAACATAAAAATTACTCACAGTGGTGAAAACTTTTCTACTTTTCTTAAAAAACCACAACTGTGAAAAGTGTTAGCCATAACAAAACAAGAAATGGAAGTCCTTCCTTGAAGTCCTTCATTCTGGCCATAGAAGTTTGGCAATGTTACATCTCAGCTTTGATCTTTAAGACCACCTCAAGGGCTGAAAGAGTAAAGTGGTTCTTACACCATCCTTGGCTATTTTGCTGGGCTGACTGAGGATACATATATTAATACTGGTTTCCAAAGTGAGACTTCTTTAAAACAAGTTACATTTATGGCCTGAGTGAAGAGAATAACAAAGATTGTCTTAAACCCTATATGAGCATCTTCAAATGCTGCAGGAGAGAGAAAACGTGTTCTGTATAGCTCTGCAATTGTCACCTAAATGTCTTCATTGTTTTCTTTTCTTTTTTTTTTTTGTTGGGTGTTATGCCTTATTTCAGAGTTGCACCTGAAACTCTGGTGTCTAGGTCTCTCAGATGAATGTTCATTCTGAGCTACTCCTTCCATGTTTAGTTTTTCACTATAGTGACTCCTGCATAGTAAACACATTGTGAAAACAGCTGCAGTGCTGTGGAGCTAAGCACTTCTGTGAATCTCTGCAGATTGGGATTTGTTTCAGTATCTGACAAATCTTCATAAAATACAGGGCCTAGACTTCATTGTTAAGTTGAGTGCCCACAGAATTAAACAAGATTAGTAGATTAAATTATGGTTATATATAATAAACCCAGGACTGTTGGTTTGTTTTTTTTTTTTTTCCCCACTAAGCAAAGGCATTAAAACCACTGGGATATTTGAAAATAAATTTGAGGAAGTGTGTCTACTAACAGCTTTTGTGACTGCTTGTTTCCATCTTTCATCCATCCATTTTGTTTTTTCTGCTTTCTAATGGAGACACTTAAATTTGAGGTAAATTTTCTGAAAGCTTTTTATTCTTATAGTAGATTTCTGTTGTATCAAGATAATTTCAAGAGGTTGTTAAAACAGGTGCATACCCATTTGCTTAATCATACAGACACATCAGGCAGACAATATCAGGAAAGAATATCCATCCACGATCTATTTCCATGTTAAGAATGAAATGTGGGATGGCTTATTGGATTGTGAATGAGAGAACTGTATCTTTATGCATATAAATTACAATTCTAGTTTGAAAGGCTGCAGTGGTGTCCTTAGTGAGCTTCTGCACATTTTCTGTATTATATTCTCTCAGTAGTGAAATATCCATACTCTGAGAACATCCAGGAATATTTGTCTGCCAAAGACAGATCCCAGGATGTGTTTTAGCTAACAGCTCTGTGACAAAACTGCCTTATAAGCATGGCATTACAGAAAGTCAGAATTAATAACGCTTTGTAGACGTATACTGGGTTCATATGTTCTCTTTGGTCTTCCTTTTTCTGTAGGGAGGTTGTAAATAGTATGTTTATTGTCTGCTACTTCTGTTCTACTGCTTTAGTTCATTCTTGAATTCAGGATTTATACCTTTGTGCTGAAGTCTGTGGTTATGAGAACAATAGGAAAGGAAACTTCTTTAAAAAGGTCACTATTATATAGTCTATTCAAAGTGAGTGTGTTCACACACAGCGTGCTTTAGGGCAGCCATTGTTACCCATCTAAAGTGCTTTTCTTGTTTGCTTTCACTACTGTATTCAAATACTGTACAGTTATTTGTATGTTCTGGTTTGTATCAATCCTGTTTAATGGGGTAGTATTGTTACTCTGATTATGCTGACCTGCAGGGTTGATGCATCCAAAAGTCACGCACCAAGTTTGTATCAGATGCCAGACTCACTTCTAGTGCCTTTTCCAGTACATTTCCCTTACCAGAGAGGCAAAGCTTTTGGCTGTGTAATTGCGATGACTTGGGAGGGTTTCACCTTGAGCTAGGACTGTGATAATGATTAATGGATAATCTGTTGTGATTTTCATCAGTTTTGGGCTCAACTTGGCATTTACTATTGGACTGGGATAAATTTATGTCTTCTGAAATAGGACATGAATGAATCTTAGCTGGGAAACTATGCCCAGTGGTACTTCTGTAGCTGACGGTGCTCTGAGATGAGTTTGCAGGTGATTTTTTTCTTAAGCTGTTTATTTATATACAAGATGCTTTTTATTTTGCTACCAGACATCTTGCTTTTCTTCAGGTGACACATGCAAAGCTTTGTTTTAAATGTGGATTTTTCTGTTTGTCTGTTCAGGCTACCATTAACCATCTAAGAGCTGAACTTGCCAAAGGACCTCAGGAGGTAGCTGTGTACGTTCAGGAGCTGCAAAAACTTCAAAGTTCAGTCAAAGAGCTAGAACAGAAAAACCAGGTGAGAACGCTGTTATTTCCTATGCCTGTCAGTTCACATTAAAATGGAAGCACATCACACATTGCCTTGGGAAGTGCTGAAGACTGTTACAAAACACTTCTTGGTGTTGCAGAAGTTGAGAATTCCTTTGCCATTTTGCTTAACATGAAGGATATTGTAATGTACAAGCAACCACTATATTTTAATGATCATCAGTATGTTAGAACTGAAATCCTCAGTGTTAGGATTGCAGATTTCTAATTGCTGCAGTTTATGCTTACCTATTACTAAGCAGTATTGCCATCTCACACATTAAAAGAAAAAAGCAGTACCCTTTGAAATATTACAATGTTTGCCTAAAAATCATAATTCAGAAGACATTTTGAGCTCTTTTCTTTGGCTTTACAGTTTCTTAGCTTGTAGATTGCACTCCTGTCATACTTTCTGGCCTTTTCTACCATTCGTGACCCTGATAAAACTGAAATAAACTCCAGAAGATTCTCAGCTTATAAGTATTCCTTGAGAGCTTTTATCAAAGCCCTTTGAGCTTGCTGTGTTTTGTATTTGCATTAAGAAAGCATGTGTTGTGGAGTAATAAACGGAGGTAAGGAGTAAAGGAGACAAGGAGAAAGATGCATGCTACTTTTTGTTGCGTGTATATATAGCACTGTATATGAACTGTACAGGTTACATATGTGTATTTACCAGCAACCTTGTCAATCTCAGAAAACAGGAAAGGACAGAGACCAAACAGTGTGTATTTAATGTAATCATATTAAAGCAGCATTTGGAAAGAATGTAAGAAGGTGCACTTAAAATTTGGTAAATTAAACTTGCCTTTAGTAGGATGACTCTTGTTTTGGCTCATTAAATTAGGTGCAGGCACTTTTTCACAGACCACCAACAAGCTTTTGGCAAAATTATTGCTATACAGTATACGGCCCTTGCCTGAATATATTGCTATTCCATTAACAATGTGGAGTGAAACAGATTGATGCATGAGATAACCATACTTTAAGAGAGAGTCCCCTGCTATGTCAGGTTAATGCCAAACACCACTTGAGGAATAATAAGAAGAGAAGTGGCAGCGAGTTACTTTTCCTCTTTTCAGTTTCAGTGACTTAAAGCAGTTTGGTCACCTCTTTATGCAGCTTTTTGAAAGGCGAATATCCATAAGCATGTTATTGCTAGCCAAGGAATCTTGGCCCTGGAGGACTTGGACCTAGATTTGGAAAAGGAAAGACTAGCTTCCCAAAGAACAGAAATTGCTCTGTCTTTGAACAGTGTGCACTCCTTGAAGAAGCTGCCTGGGACAGGGGAGGAGCCATTAATGCAGAATAGAATATATTGCAATTTGCTATGTACCTCCATTTATAATTCCATTGCAATGTGGGAAGATATTTCTGTGCATTGACGCAGAGGTTTTCAAGCTCATGTACAACCTCAAGCAAGCAAGCTGTTTCTTATATTTTCAGGAGCTATACTGAGAAGAGCAGATGACAAGTAGATAAGATCAGTTCTCTGAGATCAGCAGGGACTGCCTTTTCCTTCATTTATAAAGCACTGTAATTATGGGGCTTGGCTTGCCTTGCAAAGGCCAGTAATGGCCTGTAGTCCAGAAGAGACCTAATGTGTGAAAAACCAGTGTATTCCCTGAAGTGTAAGACTTGTAATTCCAAACCCATTGCATGTGGGTTTTTTGTTTGTTTTATTTTAGGAAAATTGTGATGCATTATCTACAGGAAAGAATGCTTAGTTTCCAACCTGTCTTGCGATGTAACTATTCTGAAATTCGGACAGTGACCACAGTTTGTTCTTTAATATCTGGCCACTGTCACTGCTAACATGTATTACATGTTTTTTTCCATGGAGCAGTTATAAAAGAAGGGGTCAGTGTAGTGTACCCCCTTGTATCTTGTGATCTTTGAAGGCTCAGGGCTCTTTGTTGAGTGCTGGAACATACTGTCATTCCCTCTTTCTTTTCTGTGGAAATCAAGGCTTGGGGAAGAGAGGTGGCTGCTGTGTGCCCACATGTCCTTTTCTATACCTGGGATGCAGCTGGCACATGCGTCCAGATAGGAGACACTGCTGGGCCCATTGATGTTAACCTGAATGACCATAGCTTGGCAGCTCTGGGGCCTCGAGTCTGCTCCTGGGCTTCAGTCATGCACAGAGGTAGCCAGCTGTCAGGCAAACCCAGCTTGGTAGCAGGCTGTCGGGTAAACCCAGCTCTTCTCTCATGAAAGCAGCAGCAGCAGCTCTTTGTGGCTCTGCCCGGCCATTCATGACTGCAGAGGGTGTTCAGCTGTCAGGGGCAGTGACTTTAAACACTGATATTTATTGTTGTATCACTCATCAGATCAGGGAGGAAAAGAGAAGAGTAGCACAGCACGTGGACCAGCATCTCCAACCCCATGTAGCTGCTGATTGTGGCTGTCCTTTGAATAGCTTGTGAGGTGATGGTGAAGAGGCTTTGCTTCTTTTTTGTTTTGCATAGCATTCCTGAAAGTTTCCCAGAGTCTCAGTCTGCTTCAAGACGTCAACTGCTTCTTCTCCCCACTCCCGCCACTTTACTTGAAAATTTAAGTTAGTGCCCTGCACTAACTCTTCACAAAGTAGGTCATAGCAGTGCTGCATGTGACATGTGGATCTAGTTATGAAGTAGTAGTAATATTAATACTGTAGCTCTAACTTGCCCAGCTATGACAAAAAAGGTGCTGCAGTGTGTTGGTATTTCAGGAACAAGATTCAGCATGGATGATAATGATCCTGCCTAGCTGTTTCTCTTTAATGAAAAGGGAATTGCAACTTTATTTTACATTCTGAGGGCGAAGCCTTTTCTAAAAGCAGTGGGAGCCTTGCCACTGTCTTCAGGAGGATAAAGATGACATCTGATTTCAGTACGTTCCTTATGTACTCTATTAGTGCATTTCATATATGCATATGTAAAAGCTTCTGCATACCTGTAGCAGCAACAAGTTGTTTTATTTTTCAAGAAATATTTCAAAATATAGTACTTCAGGGCTAGAATTCAATAGCCAAACTTTAGTCTTGAGCTAGAATTTTTGGCTAAGTTGTATGCTTTAGAAAGTATATATTTTTTTAAATGGACATGTAGGGCACTAGTTATATTTGTTCTCACATGGGTGGCTGGACTGCTAGAGTTGTCATTTGCAAGATTGTTTCCTAACTTATTTTTGTAGATTCTTCTGTTTATTTTATCACAATTGTAAAATAGAAGTGTCTGTTTATGGTTTATAATGACCAATATAGGCATCATTTCTTAAAATCTGTAAAGAACGAAACCATTCAACTGTTCAACTTATTTGAATAATTTTACAGCTGCTTCTTCTGGCAAAACAGGTTTTACCCCTAGATACTGCACAGAAGTGTGCTTTTAAGATGCCCTGCATAGCCAGAATTGCAGCACTATCTTATCTTTGGAACAGTGTTATTCCAAAGCTGCAGAAATATCTGATGTTTCCATACATAAGGCTGACCTCAGTGTTGGCATTTTTTCAGGCTGACATACTAGGAGTGTTCTTTAATTTTCTGTATTTTAATGGAAAGGGTCGCTAGAGAATACAGTAGTCGCTGAAACTGCAGGAAGAACACAAGCATTTAAAAGTAGCATATAGTAATGCTCACTGAGATAGATGTCACGAAGATGTGCAATGAATGGAGCCTGCTGGTGCACTTCAAGAAGATGGAATGAATTACCTGGGTTGGATGATGACCAGGGCCTCCCTGCAACTGTATTTTGGTGCTTGAAAAAGTGCCACTGGAAAATCAAAATGGTCCTCATGGCTTCTTTGTCCTGCTTGAAATTCTAGTTAGTGTCTCAGCAAAGCTTGGGGGAAAACGTAAACTTTCTGGAATTACATCTTTTCCATTAAGATACGTAATTTCTATCTGAATATAGTTTTGACTAGTTTGTGAAATTTGATAAAAAGCATTAGGTAATAGCTGAAAATTATCTGTAAATAATTTTTTTTTCAGTATTTGTCTCAGCATGTAAATTTGATAGTATGACCTTAGACCCTGCAGTATTTCCTGTTGTTACTGTGGTAAGAAAAATCTGACGCTCAGCAATGTTTGTGTCTTTCCTTTAAGGAATCCCAATTTTTAGTGTTTTCAAACTCAAAGCAACCATCCTCTTTGAGCTGATTTGTATGCAAGGAACTTAGATGTTACGAATTAAAATGTAAAAACATCATCTTGAAAATGAAGGTTAAATCATGAGTGTTTTATTCTGTGATTTATCAACACCACAAATTTTATTAGTTTTCATAGGTTCCCTTCCGTAATTTCTGTAGCAGATCATGCTGTAAGTATATTGGCAGGGGAAAATTAGGATACTTCTAAAAATGACCAGCTGCACAGGATTAGATAGGAAATAAACCACAAATGTTGTTGCTTAGAGAATTCTGTGAAGGACAGAGATACTTGAAAACTTTTTCTGTATACTAATAACTCAAATTACTATTTCAGTTCTTCCCCAAGAAAATGCAGTTGTAATAACTTAGAATTCGAATGCTCAGGGAAAGCAAGTTAGTCTTCAGGATACAGAAGTAGAGTTTGTGTGGTGATCTCAGTAAGAGGAAGTGTATTTATGCGAGTATATGAAAAACAGCATTTCCAGTTGAAACTGTGTGCTGGATGGGCTCCAGAATTAACTTGTGTAATACAAAATAGAGGTCTGCATTTCCTTTAATAATGCTTTTGAGCAAGTTCTTCACTGTTCGGCATCCTCACTTGAGGAGAAATTTGAATAATGCATTGAACAGCTGTAAGCAGAAATGCAGTTGAATTGCTGTGTAACTCTCTTCATAGAGTCTGACCGAGAAGCTGCTGAAGAAAGAACAGGACTACACCCAGCTAGAAGAAAAACACAATGAAGTATCTGTGAGTAAGAAGAACGTGCTGGCAAACTTTCACCAGAAGGACCTGGACTGCCAACAGCTTCAGGCAAAGCTGTCTGCATCTGAAGCCTCGATACAGAGATTACAGACAGAGCTAGGTGAGAAGGGGGAAGCAAGCCAGAAACTTAAAGAAGAGTTGTCTGAAGTAGAGACAAAGTACCAGCATCTCAAGGCAGAATGTAAACAGCTCCAGCAGCAAAGAGAGGAAAAAGAGCAGCATGGCCTGCAACTCCAAAGCGAGCTCAGTCAGGTAAGGTGTCTCAAGCCTCCTAGACCATCCTGTTGGGATGGTTCCTTAAACCATCCCATTAGGGTTTTTTTAATCTGTGCATGCATATTTTTCATGCATTTGCATTTCCTTATGGAAGGGAAGTAACTAACCAGTACTTGTATTTAAATAAATATAAAGCATTGTTCCTAACACTGCGGAGAATGAGATGCAATCGCCCCTTCCCCTTAGAGAAGTAAAAAAAAGAACAGGCAAAAAGAAGAGGCTGTGGTAGCAGTGCAGAAATTCTTTGGTATTTGGTTGTTACGTCTGAGTCTTTTTAGTAGGCCCAAACTCTTGTCAAGGGCAAATGAGAATGGTTGTAGTCCCTGTGTCACAATCAAACTCCACAAGATCTACAATTATAACCACCTTTCCCCATTATTCTGGGAATGCTAATGTAACATCTCTCTATCATCTGTAGTGTAATTCCCCTTTTTCTAAAAGGGAAACATCTTACTATGTCTGTTCTGTCTGGAACTCTTCTTAAAACTACAGAATATTGAGTTTCCATGACAAATATGGTAATAGGGAAATCCTAAGAAGTCAGCAAGGTTATTTTTTCTGGTTCATAAGGTAGCTGAAGCTATAATGAATTCAGGTTATGAGAAAAACAAATTCAGGTAGAGTATCAGAAGTAGTTTCACTTCTAGTAGTAATTTTACTACTCTTTAGGAAGTTTGAGAAAAGTGAGTCTTCATTTTACATGAGAACTGAACAATGCTTGATTCGCTTTAAAATTGAATAGTGAATACAGTGGGGAATACTTAGTGTGAAAAGCAGGGATAATGGGAAGTCTTAATGTTGCTTCTGTTGTGTTTCTCCACAAACACCTTCTCTTCGCGTTGCTGGTAGCTGTAAGAACACCCAGAGCATACATCCCCCCCACTGTTTACATATTGTTCTGCTGAGTCCAATGAGTTACGGAAGCAGGACTTTCATATAATATCGAGCATACTGAAATTTGAGGCTGGTAGAACTTTGTTTCATCTAGTGTCTTGGGGAGTAATGTGTTACACTGGAGAAATATTTGTGCATCAGGAATCATGTCCCATCCTAAGATGGAAAAAATAATCTTTTTTTTTTGTTAGTATGACGTGCTTAATTTTAATCTCTTGCTAAAGGTTTATCATTTTAGAGTGCTTCTCAATTTTCAACCCTTTGTCAAGTTTGAAATAGATTAAGTTGCAAGCTGTGCATGTATAGTTTATCTTGGAAGAACTGTGGCTTGGCAAAACTTCATTTATGTATGTATTACATCCCCAGAATGACTTTTCTTCTCCCATCAGTCTTCTGTCAGGGGGAGGGGAGATAATTATATTATTTATCCGCTTAGGAATCCTCCCTTGGTAAAACTGCCTCAGTCTGCCCAGGCAACATGTATGCAAACTTCAGAAGCACAGCCAAGAGGCTGAGCTGAAATCTAGCTTCAGCCTGAGGGGGCATTTTCGGGAAGGATTTTTGGGGTGGGAAAATAAAGGAGGAAGAAGGTGAATAATGCATTGCTGAATGAATTCCTATGAAAGGAAATGGAGGCACCGCACATTCTCTGGCGATACCATTGGGAAGGAAGACAGTCTAAGCAAGAAAACCTAATCCTGCTAGATTTCAGGATGTGTTTTAGAATTGTATTGTAAAAGAACAGTGGAGGAAAAAAAGCCCTTCATACATGGCATAAAATAAAATTAAAGCCAAGAAGAAACTTCTCTCCCTCTCTCCCCCTCGAAACAAGAGTACAGTTACTATTGTCACGAAAAAACTAAATTTCTCTCTCCTCTTCTCCTGCCTCTCTCTTAACTGTGCAGTCTCCTCTCTCCCCCTCGAAACAAGAGTTCAGTTACTATTGTCATGAAAAAACTAAATTTCTTATATTTATTCTCTTAATACGTTAATGGAATTATCTTTTTATGCAAGTAGGTCAATAGATTACGTTGACAAAATGAATGCTGCTTATGAAGGTATATGTGTAGTTGTTTAGTCAAACCATGTTTTCAAAGAATCCTTTCCATCTTCTCAAAATTTGTTTGAACAGATGCATGTCTGGTTAAGTTTGTATGTTTTAGAATTTGGGTAACGTGAAGAAAGTGATCTTCACGAAGGAAGGGAACTTTGATGATAATGTTCGTTCTAGCACAGCAATAGGAAGAGGATAACATAAGAAAATGTGGACTCCTTCAGTGCTGAAGAAATGTTAATTGCTAACAAATACTGTTGTTATTGCTGAGAAAATTTGAATCTACTTGATTGTATCCTTGAAAGTCTAAATTTTTTTAATGATTTTTGTATTCTGTAACATAGGTTAATCCTGGGTTTTATGGTTCTGTTTACTTAAAGTCAGTCTTAAAGTCCTTCAAAAATACTTAACCGTGCCTGTAATAAAAGTGGCTTTTGTCAAATGTTGTTTGCTGATTTGCCCCTTTCCGAATATTGTCTCACAGTATTAACATAGCCATGAATAGTTATAATAGTTACCTTCTTGCACCCTTTCTTCATCAGATTTTTTTCCTCCAGCTCTTGTTCATATTTTTAGTGAGGAGGAAGTGTTAATAAGTTAGTGATTCCTGCAGAAAAAGACAAATGTTCTTGATGACTGGAGGAGAGATGATGGTCTCTTTCCTCAGCCTGTCCTCCCTCTTCTCCTGCCTCTCTCTTAACTGTGCAGTCACAGTTAGCAATCAGCATCTTGGCCACATGCCAAGCTTTTCAGTCACAGTTTTTGTGGTTGTGGGCATATAAACAAATAATTTAGCTTGGTTTCCTAAGAAAATAAGGCATAGACACATTTGTTTCCTTGTCTCCATCTCCTGTAACTTTTGCATTGTTTGGTAACTTTGGACAGATTTTGATAGGTGGCCCATAGGTCTTCAGCATTAGGTTCTTCAGTGTTAAATTTTTGTGGAAACAGGCAGTAAAAGAGAGAGACATGTTCATGCCTCACCTCCTCAGTGCCTGGGGGGAAGAAATCCACCTTTTTCTATCCCGCTAGGCAGCCAGTCGGTCAGCAAGTGAGCAACAAGATTGTGCTGCCTTTTCCCTAGGTATTAGTAGGAATTTGAGGAAAGTGTGAGAAAGGTTTAGGGATATTGAAGGGAGGACCTGGAGTTAAAAGGTGAATGCTTCAAGGGTCTTGTACATAAATTTATAAGGAAGCAAGCTTCATTCATTCTGATACTTGTAGAAAGTTCTTGCTGTGCTGCAAGGCCTGATCCATTCTCTTGTTTTTGCATTGAGTTGAAAGTCCATCTGTGTATCCGTGAGTGCGTTCATGTGGAATTAGGGAGGAGGTAACCCAGGACCTATAGTGACAGTTTCAAATAGAAAAACAGCTGATTTTATGGAGAGAGCTTTTTATAACAGTAAATAGTAAAAAAAAATCCCTGTACTTTGAAGATGGTGCAGTACTGGTTTTGATGACTGAAAAAATTACGAATCAGGCTTATGTCCAGCTGGAAGAGTGCATTCCCCTACATACTGCCTGCTGCTGGGAGGTGCCCGACTCTAAGCCACCAAAGTTGCTGTGTCCCCTACATTGAAGGTTCATGTGTCTCTTCTCTGCAGAGAGTGAATGCCATTGATGTAGCCAGGTCAAGCTAAAAATTATGTTCTTACTAGTCTAGCAATGCAGAACAGTAATATTGGGGGAGCCAGCGGAGCAGGTAAAGGCGTGGTGCTTCAGCCACTGGATCTACCCAGTGTGCGCTGTGTGAGATGAGATTGCTCTGAGCATCACTATTTTACGTGAACATCCTTGTGCCTTTGAAGGATTTCCCTCTTGCTGTTTCTGTTAAATCCCTGTAGCTCATATTGAAGGGCTTCTGTAGAGAAATGAGGATGCTTCTCAGTTGCTCCAACCTACTTTTTTGAATATTTGTTCCTGCCTGTGCAGTTGATGCTGTCCTTTAACACGATTTGTGTTTCTGAGGTGTATGTTGTACATACATGACTTCAGGAGCTCCTGTAGCCGTTTTACTCTGGGTTATGAAAACTCAGGGTAAATGTAGCACAAAGTGAGTCTAAAATACAGCGCTGTTGGCTAATGAATGACTAAAAAAAGGGATGACTTTTTTTTTCTTTTGCAGTTGCACAGTAAACTTCTAGAAACAGAGCGCCAGCTAGGGGAAGCACACGGGCGGCTCAAGGAACAGAGACAGCTGTCTAGTGAGAAGCTGATGGACAAAGAGCAGCAGGTGGCTGATCTGCAATTAAAACTGTCTCGGGCTGAAGAGCAGGTAGGGGCTTTTATGGAGACTCTGGTTTGCTCTGGTTCCAATAGTAGCCTGTATACACTTGTTGTGATGTTGCGGTTTATAAAGTTTGTCCTCACGGGAATTTCATTTGACTAATGCTGTTGAAGTCTTACAGTAAAATTGTTCAAATCTGCCAAAATGCCACTTGCATTACAGGTTCCGTAAGACTAAACGCTTATCAGATGTTCGTGGTGCTTTACAGAGGAGCAAAAGATGTGCTTTTTCAACTTAGGAGCTTTGTCTAAGGATCTTGTGAAAGACAGACTTAGGTGCACCTAAGCTCATGTGGGTAAACCTTTGTGTGTAGATACTTGTGTGGGATAAAGCCCTACAAGAAGAAAAAGTAAACGTGGCACAGCAGGTCATTGATAGTTAATAACCTGTGTGGGGTGGATGGGCAGAAATCACCTTTTTTATTAACTTTTATTTGTTTTAATGAGCATCTTGTATATATTGCTGATTTTCTGCTGCCTGTATGGGGATTGGCCAAATATCTGAGTGGTATGTTTTCAAAGCTTTAAAGCTTTTCTGTAGCTAATTTGCGAAGCCCTGACCAGTGTAGAAGTGGAGAGATTGCTAAACTGAAGTTGCTACTAAACCTGCTAATAACAGTAATAATAATGTTTTACAGGTATCTGTATTATCAGTCATGTTACATCTTAACAACTGTTGGAAAAAACATACTAAAAATCTCTTACGTTTTAGATTTTTGAGAGCTAAAATACATGTATGTCCGATACTTGTTTTATAGTTTTCGCTTGTGATATAGAATCTCACCTATTAATAGTAATGAATGCTTTGGTTAGATTTTGATTCCTTAACTAGCATCACACACTTTTATTTTTGTACCAGTTTTCAAATATTCGTGTTAAGAGTAAAATCGTTTAGCTCTAGAATGAGCACTGAGCACTACTGGCATACTGAGTGGTGCTTGTTCACTCATTAGTCTGTTTTGGTTGGTTGGTTGGTTTTTTCAGCTGAAGGAGAAAGCGGCAAATTCCACAGAACTGCAGCATCAGTTAGATAAGGCAAAACAGCAGCACCAGGAACAGCAGACACTTCAGCAAAATACTACAGCAAAACTACGAGAAGCTCAGGTAACATAGTTATGTATCCTTATGTGAAAGTGTATTTCAGGATTTCATTAGTTTAAATATGTTTTGTCTGTAAAAATGGCTTGCGTGACTTACACTAGTTTCAATAAATTAACTTGTAAGTCTAGAACAGAATATACAGAGAGTGTTTTAATAAATATATCCAACATGTTATGCATTAGGAATAACTTCTAAGGCCCCTGTAATTAAGGAAGCTATTATGCGATTTTCTAGAATGATTTGGAGCAAGTACTACGACAAATTGGAGATAAGGACCAAAAAATTCAAAATCTTGAGGCTTTGCTTCAAAAAAGCAAAGAAAACATCTCTTTGCTAGAAAAGGAAAGAGAGGACTTATATGCAAAAATTCAAGCTGGTGAAGGAGAAACTGCAGTTCTTAACCAGCTACAAGAGAAAAACCATGCATTGCAAATACAGGTAAGAACTCAAGAGACTTGTTTCTTTTCCCTCATTCTCATTACTGAATCATGTTTCCTGTTTTCCTGCCTCATCAGATATGACATTCATCTTTTCTGTACTTTGCTGTTTCTTTGATACTTTAAAGATCTTACTGTAAATTTCACAGGAGTTGTGTTTTGGTGACTTCCTTGCTATCAGCATAGGGGAAGGAATTCCTAGCATTAGCAAATTCCATATGCTAGTAATATGTTCTTGCAAGTAATTTTTGGATATATATATACGCGTTTGTTTCTCTTATCTTAAAAAGAGGTT